CTAATTGCCTTTTCCAGAGAAGCATATAGGGCCCTTCAGTTAAGCATGACTTCCTATCTGTGATGTGTGGACAAACATACATAAACATGCGAACGTGCACAATATCTCATAGAACAAAGACACGTAACTGTGTCCACCACATTTAGCAATAACAAACAGTTCAATAGTGACATCTATAAACAGCAGAGATGCTTTAAAAGCCTCAGAAAAGACCGTTAATGGCAATGTTTGCTGGCAGTTCCCTCAGTGATATGATTTATGACTCGAAGCAAAGTTTACATGTCTGTTAAAGTTACAACTTATGCATTTATTTCCTTCATCGTAATATACTCATACACATGGACGTGTATAGAAAAATTGCTTTCATGTTGTTAATGGTGTGTCCTGTGTAATAACAGACTGTATTATCCTGCAGGACCTATGACGTACCGTTAGGGGCGTGATGAAAAGCAAAGAACTAGAAAATTCCCATAAAAGGAAGTCTGCACTGATTAGCTTCCTGGTTCTTGGGAAAAAAAGACATCTGTAGTTACATCTATATCAAGACGCGACGTACACTGTGTGCTCTTAGCTTTATCAAAATACATTATTTTTGTCTGACTAAGCCCGACAGCAAAGCGAGTTGAATTCTTGACTATAATTAACAGAGTGTCTCAGTGTACTGTTTACGGGTCAGACAGCAAACAAACCTCTCCTCAAAATGAATTATCGATCCTGCCTCTGCCTCTTCAGGCCACTTCTCGGTGTGCCCTGGGCTTTGTGGTTACCAGTGTCATACTAAAAAAAACACAATCAGGCCTCTCGAGTGGAAGCTCGTAATGAGACAGAGAGGCCACCCTAGCCTGGAGGGGGCCTCGACACAGCTACCACCGAAGTCCTCCCAACATGGACACCGTCAGCAGAGTAAACACTACTTATCAGGCCTCTACCCAAAGACAAGTCCTGCCAAATGTTTCATGTCTCTTTCAGTTTTCCAGTTGCATTCCGCTGGCTAGGGGGGACACTCTCTGTCTGCATGTCTCTGTGCTGCTGCAGCAGCTCTGGCATGCATGGTATGACTGTAAATGGTATCACTTAAAGAGACCTGGAAGGTGTCAGTCCTGACAGGGTGCAGATTGGACTAAATTCCTCTCAAGGAATAGTGTGGGTCATACAGAAAGGGAGGATGAGGAAGAATAAACCAAAGATTCATACATCAGTGTTGTTTTCAAAGAACCCTTTGATGCAGACACACTTCATTATCTCCAATAGTAATTAGCTGAAATTCCTGGGTGAAGCTCTAATAATATGCTGTAAACAAGAGTATATGCAAATTATGTAAAATATGTGCACATAATCTTTCTTATGCTTTATGCACAGCAGCTCTATGTTCTTATCAGATGGTCAGAGCAAACTGATGAAATAATGTTATGCAAGGTATAAGAAAAGTGTCAAATGCAACAGATGATCATGCAACTATTTGATACCCCAGAATAATTCAAAACAGTGAGTATGTAATCGAAGAAAACAAAAAGTGATTCCCAAAATCAAAACTGTAAACTATTACATTGGAACCTAATGGACTTTTACATTAAAATACATTATGAATAGTCCAGAATTGTATTTGCATAACCTTCATAATGTCCCTGCACCAGAATCTGCCAGCTGGGATTTAGCTGATTTCTCTGCTCTTATATGTCTGGGTTTAGATATTTATACGAGTCACATGCAACACAGTACATGCATTGTAGCATCATTGGATTACTTTAAACCATTCTATAATCTAGAAACATTTCCAGATAATCTCACATAATCTTAATATTTCTACTTAATGTCAAGCATTAAATATATCACATCATCTTATCTGGCCATTACTGCTAGGATTAACCAAATGGCACATACACACCTGCCACTGGTATACTATTTTTCTATATGAAAAACTTGGCACAATGCATATCACTAACACAACAAAGGTAAAACATGTTGTTGTATTATGCGGCACCAACATCATACGCAGTTTGGCAGTGGCTTAGTGCAGACGAAAGGTCATCTTATTGACTAACAACATTGATAAGGAGATCTAGCCTTGTGTTTGTAGAAAAGGTCTGAGACTCAATGCCCTGGAATCCACCCTAAAACCATACAATGTCTTGGCATGGTGGTCTGGCCACTTGCGTCAACTTTTCCTGCCATTGTTGTTCATTTCAGACACAGCTGGCAGGAAGGGAGAAGCTGAGCCCACCATAAGGTCAGCCAATCAGACGTCTCCTACGCAGCCAACTGGCAGGTGATGTAATGTTTTTAAAAAAATGCAGCCTGAACTGAACATTTAGTACCTGTATTTAGATTTCCAAGGATGCTGCCATACTGACAAACTGCATTCTAACAGTATGCTAAATTTCTGAAATGATGAAAGCTGATAATTTATTTAATTTAATGGATACAGTGCATTTATAACATACATTTGTATGCATGTGATTGCAATGCATTCTACAATATACTGTTATGAAATCTTCTATATATCCATTTCATTCTTACATCTCTTTGGCAGCCGTCTAGAGACTTTTTGGTATATTGAATCTAAGGACGCTTGTTGTAGTCTGGACAGAATCTAAATGACACCATTGATGTTCAGAGAAAGCAGAGACACTATGGAATGTATGGAGGCCAATAAAAAACAGACAACAAATTAAAAGCAGACCACTACAGGGAGTGTGAGAAACGATGCTTTAGGCACAATGCTCACAGAACAGCAGCATAACACACCAGCCCAGAGTAAAATGGACTAATGTTCACTGAATATTCAAGGATGGAGTAGCTGGTTAATTGAGTAGGGCTCATAATGACACAGTACTATCTGATAAACAGCTTGACTGATGTTTTCACTGTGAGAAGGCCATAGATAGAGTGCAGCATTTCACACAAAGGCTGTGGTTAAATGTATAGTTAAATGTATATTATAAAACTGAATGTTCTGACTGCAGCGGTGTTGTTGTGCATCTCACCTCGCTTGTCCTCTCTGAGCCCTTGCTGTGGTTCTGCAGGAAGCGGCAGCCATCCTTGGCCATTCTCTGGACCATCTCCAGTCTGGACAGGTCCTCCTTGTCATGCAGGATACACATGCTCCCCGGCTGCAGCGCAGGGGACACGGAGAACATGTGCTTCAGGCCACAGTCCCACGACATTGCGGCTGTCCACCAGGCAAAACAGCAGGACTACTGCCTGTGAGCTCACACTACTCTTTTAAAAGAAAGTGTAAGAGCAGGTGAGGAGATCAAAAATGAGTGTATGTATAGTGTGTGTTCCGTTTCAGGTGAGTTAGAGAGTCTTCTGTCACTGCAGCCAAACAAAATCCCAGTCCCCGTATGCCTTGGTCATCTTGGTGGCGGAGAGACACACACGCACAAAGACTCCACTCCAGGTATATGTGCGTGCTTAGCTTCACTGAAAGTGAATGACAGATTCCGTCTCTCTGTCCTTTGCTTGCTTTTTAGCACTGGGGAGGGGGGGTGAGTTGGGAACATGGTGGCTTCAGGAAACATCTGGAGAGCCGGACAGCCCCAAAAAGGAAGTTTCGAAATCTCCCGAAAGCAGGAGAGAGTCAGGATTGGGCAGGGTACATGACACTGGAGGGTCAAACACTTGTTAGGGTGGAGATGCATTACGTTTGTGGTGGTTTAAAGCCATTCAGACACAAGCACAGAAAACAACTCTGAACTGTTTTCAGTCAGAATGAATACAATCCAGTAAACTACTGTCACTTATAAGCAGCTGCTGGAGAAAGCCTATTTTTTAGCCCTAACAATGTTGTAGACTAGAGCAGAGCTTTGTTGCTCTGTCCACAAACTGTTGTATCTTGTCTTCTACAAGCACAAAGTGTCTGTTTTTATTTAAGATCACCGACTTGTCAAACACTTGCTAATTAAATTAAACTTGTCAACTGCTTAACGTAGTTACAGAAGCACCAGCGTGATGCTGAATGTATTGGCCAAGGTAAAGCAAGGACATTAATCCTTCCCATGAAGACTTTATCTATTAGTGTGATATCTTTTTCCCCTCTGTCAGCAGTGTGATGCTTGACTGGGTCCTTGCAAAGCCATTCAATTGTGCCGCTGTTCCAAACTGCTGACACAGCAAAATTCAGAATGAGAAAAGGTCCCACATCTCTTGGTGGTGTTTCTCTTTGCATGTGATATTGAGATCCATCATTTCACAATGCCCTTTTGTTCTTTCAAAGTAAATGATTGGGAAGATGTCCATTGCCCTCATAATACAATATATGTCTCTAAAAGTGTATATCAGGCTATTTTCTGCATAACTTAAATAATTTCATCCCTCAACTCTTTAATGTTACGTTAACGTTAATTCTAGCTGGGGTCTCTATAATCAGAATGCGCTGATAAAGCTTCCTCATCACTTGCTTTTTAGAGAAATTTAGGTGTTGTTAAAATTGGCCTATGCTCTTTTTTTGATTGAGAAAAGAAACAGATTTGACCACATCCTTGATTTAAACATGTTAACATAGTAAACATGGCCACAGTACTGTATTACTGTCGTTTAGAAGTAGGCTATCCTGTACTGTTCTAAATTAAACTGAGCGAATTGTTGGCCTTGAATGTCTAAAAACAAACTTGTCTTCCTTCCTGCTCCTTCAGAGTGAACGATCCTTAGTGAGACAAAGCCAGGAGGACAACTATAGCTTTAATGTGCTACCACTGACCCAGTTTCTCAAGTAAATGAATTGCAAATTGAGAACGCCTGAAGTCAGACTTGTTAGCAAGCTTGCTCTCAAACTGTCGTCTTTATCCAGGGACTACCATGACAACCATGGGCAGTACACTGTAGGCCTCCGGCACTGCAAAAGAGTAAAAAAATGATGAAACTCTTCTGAGCTTGTTGCAGTATACCCATTCCAAAATAACACCCAGCCAAGTACAGAAATGCAACAGCTGCACAATCTCTTTCAAATTAATGAAGATACTTAACAGCAGAAACAATAACATCACCACATTGAATGATGAAGCTAACCCATGTTTTCTGCATTATTACCTTAATGTATGCACATATCAAAATTACACACCAGAGAAATGTGATCCCTGGTTGCGTTCTTTCACACATGGAGGCTAGTTTTAGGAGACCATGGTGGGAGCAGTATGAAGAGCATCGAGGGACATTAAAGAACCATACAGCACACTGGCATCTACACCTCTGTGTAAAAGCTATACGATATCTGTGTTTCTGGTAAGAAGCCAAAACTTTGAACGCACTGCTGTTTTCTAGATTCTTCAAAGATGTTTCCATACAGCCGGAATTTAAAATATCCAATCTACTACATAAAAAAAAGATATTTTACACCAATTTCTATATATTTGGAGTCGTTTCATATTGGGAAGTACCTGAGACTAATGCAATCTAATATAACAGCTCTACAATAAATCCTATTCAAGTTATAATGTTTTGTTTTTGTTGAAGCTTAAAGCAGCTTTAACATTTTAATAATGACAAGGTATCCAACACATAGATCCATCACCATCAACAACAACAGTAACTTGGTGATGCATCGGATCGGGGGAGCTTTCACTTTGGTGTGCACCTACAGTAACTTGTGTCGACCACCAATTAAACCCAAAGAGGAAGATCTGTCACTGAACAAGAGTAGCAATTTGGTAAAAACATGAATCTTCTACATTACAGGGTTCAACCCGCGGATTACTGTTTTTTTTTATCATGGATAAAAGACTACTTGAGAAACCGGCAACTGGTAGAAATAAGGTAACCGGTCTCCGAAACAACTTGACAACTGACGCCGAGATGAAAAAGCCACCAAGTACACGAGAGTACAATATATTTTGCTTGGTAGTTAACTCGTTGTTTTTTTTATTGCTTTTTAGTCTTGGATTTGTATTTCTGTTGTGTGTTCCTGCTTCTAGCCATGGAGCAAGTTTATGACCGTGAAGCCTTTATCAACATTGCTTTTTGGATTTCCTCCATCATTTTAATGATATTCAAATAATAAAAGCCCTATTGTATTAATAGACAGGGTAGGCATAGATTTAACTTTACATTATTTTATTACATTAGAAAAAATGTAATTGTGGCTTGGAGAGTTATCGTCACTCTTTCCTGAGTGACACTTTTTTTGATAACAGCATCAGATGTATGGCTGTTGCTTTGCCTTTACGCAACTAAACCTGGATAACGTCAACTATAGTCACCTGAGCTTGGCGTAGCTGCACAACACGAAACCTAGACTCTTGCATAGTCGCACAAGGCAAGAAAGGAATTGACTGTTGAACTCACTTCATTTTCAAGATCGATATTCATCAGGCCGGCAATGCTGTGTAGGCCTACTGCTTCCAGTAAAACAGCCTCCCACTCCAACAACAGTTCTTCCTGGCAAGTTGCCTTTACTAGCCTACTCATGACTCTTCATTACCAAGGTAACTGCTGTCACGTTACACACTGTCAGTGATTGTAGCCTTAATATAGTGTATAGAGTTAGTCAGTATCCTCTGCATGGAATAGCAACAAGCTATTATAATATATGAGAGGCTTTCATTAGCCATAAAGACTTGTACAGTGCTGCTGATACTATTCAGTACTTGTGGTAAACCAGTATATCTTTCGATGGTGGCAATATTGAAGGTACCAATCATTTCTTCCTGTACATACTCGACTTAATTAAGATAGAGCTCACATCGTGGTGATGCCAGACATTGCAGATGACAGACGAGAATATCTGGAGTAAAGACTGGATTTCCATGTCCTCCAATCCTGAATGATCTCCCTTTTGTGTCATTATTCTATCCACCTTCATATGTCCTCCTGTGGATAATAGTTATCAGTATTATAATCACTCTTGGATGGTGCTGACTGTTTATAGAAAATCTGGGAGTTGAGATAGGTTGTAAACATACTGTCTGCGTATTGTGTCTCATTTTTACGGTAATGGTGCATATTCTGTATACTGGTATGGTGATGACCATTTAACGTGACATTGACCTCTACTGGCCATAAAAAGCCCTACATTTGCATATTGCTACTGTACGTTCCCTGGTCCCTATTTATGTGTAAAGGTTTTATTGTTTCTCCTGTTTTACAGTCTGCCTGTGTATATATATACTGTATATATATGCCTACATCAAATATGTAGGCTACACAGCAGGCAGACAGTATTAAACCATATTTGGATGTTCAAATGATTCCAGTACTACCATTCACTTGTAGAGGTTGAATGGATGACTTTATTTAAGTTTCAGGATATGAATAGGGCCAAATATATTCACAATGTCATGAATTTCATTTTTTTGCAGTTTATTTACATGAATTAGGAGAACTTCATCTAGTGTGACATGTGTAACACTTTATCTTACATTACAGAGGAACTATATTGATTTGTGGATTATTTCATCAGAATACTTGAGGTGAAAGATCATCTTCATTCATCTTTATTATCATAATTATCAGTCTGAAAAATACAGTACAATACAGGAATTTCACAGCGAAATTATACAAATATATTGAGATGTGTTGCTGGTTGTATGACAAAAAGGTTAAACTTTGATATTATTTCCACTGTACAAGAAGGAGATATGAAAACATACAGTAGCTGAGAGTAATTCCCAAGGCATATTCCCAACAGTGTTCTTGTTCTTAGTTGAGGTAAGGTCATGTTTAGTTCATCGGAACTAAAAAAGAATGAAGCAATGTGTAATACAACGCTGCCAATAGCAGTGATCAACATTTGCCATATTCACATATCACTGATTTCAAACATGTCACAAAATGAAGATTGCTTTCCTCTTGGATTTCTATACAACTATTAATATCACTCTTTATATGGGAAGGAAAGAAAGTTTGGAAACTACTTTTTATTTATCAAAGTACACAAGCAGTTAGAATAAAATAGTTCGCATTTAATAGTTTGACGAAAGTACATGGCGTGATTTGATCATTTCTGTTGTTGTTGTAATGCATAAACCAGGTTTACCTGCACAAAAGAAAGGCACATATTAGCTTGATTCATCCACAGAGAAACAAACCAGGGAAAGGAAATACTTTGTCCTTTCACTTCAGTCCATGAAAAGGGGGGGCTTCCCTTCGGATTTTTTTTTTTCTTCTAATCAAACAACCTCACATCGAGTTCCCTTTATGTTCCTTTTTGGACATCCTGGAATATTTCCAAGTGGACGGATCAGTAACATTGATGCCACTTGTAGAAGTACTGTCTCGTCTTGTCTGCATTTTCATGCATCGCTGTTAAGTTCTCCTCACAACACCAGTTCTTTACTGAGTGAAGGTTAGAAAAAGCTTTCCATCCATCCACCCTCCCATCCAAAAAGCTAAGTAAGATGAAAGTCATGCAGTAATCCCACAGGGCTTGTAAAGGCCGGTGCCTTAGCTGCTACCTTCGTGTCCTGTACATTAGATTAGTACAT